GAAAAATACATAAATCATGTTTTAATTTTAGGTGCCAACGATAATCCAATTTACCACAAATAAAGTGTACCTTTGGGTAGTCAAATTATTTACAAATTGAACCGAGACTCCTCTCAGTTAATAAACATACTCAAAATATCTCATATTTTCATATTTATTAACTACCGTTATTTTAGTCAAAATATAACCAACAAACTTTGATTATATCTTCATGAGTGTAAACCACCGTTTCAGATCCCATAGACTTAACTCCGGATTGCTACCTTTGGGTAGTCAATTCGAAAATACATCCTGAAATCCTATCTCTAGGAAGCAAACCTTGTTATTGATCCAGCAAGAACACTTTCCTTTAGGATGGCGATTCAATGTCGTCGCAAAGCCCCTCTCCGGATCTCACGGTGTTGCGCTAACGGTGGAGACTAGTGGGTTGTATTGTCATACAACCCTCTCCCATTCATTATTTTACAAATATGTATTTTGTTTGAAAAACATCTCATGGTTTTCAAATAAAAAAATAAATAATTTATTTTTCGGATATATGAAATTTCAAAATTTAACTCTTAAATTCAATTTCACATGTAACATTATTTTGCAAATCAATTTTGCAACTTAAATCAATTTAATCATATTAAATCGATTTTAGCGCATGGTTCTTATTTTATTTTATTTTTCTAAAACCCTTTTATAATAAATAAAATAAATAATAAATGTGCGTGTATATATGAAATGTTATAAAAGATATGAGTAGGTACATTATATCTATATGGCATGTTATATGCATGGACATATAATATATAATTATCAACATAAAATATAAATATATGCAATCGGCTATTGAGATAGATTTGACCGGGTCCCATGAAAATTATAAATCACAACCAAATCGAATAAATAAATAATTACAATAATTATTTTCTTCCGTTACATCAACGGGTCTTTGATTCTTGAACTCTTCATTCTTTGGCTTCGTTCTTCGTCTTCGGGTCAGATTTCACCTTCTTCGGCGTCCGGAAGTCTTCCGGGTCTATCGGTACGCATTACGAGGGTTTGGAAAACCTCAGGTCCATTCGGGGTCCAATTCCTGAATCTGGGTTGCCAGCTGCGCACTCTGGCCGCGCGTTGTGCGCGGCCGCGCGGACTGTCCACGCGCTAGGCGCGCACTGGGGCGCGTGCTG